ATGATGAAATGGTCTGTATTCCAAGACATGGAATTAGGCCAAGTGTTAGCGGTCAGCACAGAAATCCTGTTAGTGGTCAGTACCATAGGTTTGACCATGCGCGCTGTAGTGCGCGTCAGCCAAACTGGTCTCAGATAAACCCATACTAACCCACCTCCTTGCCGCCCCACCCCTCCCTATGGTCGAACAAAGTACGTAGCCACTCCTATCGCGTCTCGAAGACGCGAAGTGCACAATTCGCCACGCTGTTTGTCTGGAAATTGGTTCTTACTTGTGAATCAACTTGGCTAGGTTCGGGATGGGTAGGGCATGGGGAGCTGCGTCACAGACAAAAAAAAACTTGGTTCCAAAGCAGCCCAGAGATGAAACGTGACAAGGGTCAGCAATTAGGTGGCGCACGAAATAGGGAAGATAGCAAAAAGGGCGAGGCGCTCCCTAATGGGCGGTATTTGCCACAAAAATCCACAACTCCGTCCTGAGCCAGATTGGAGATCGTGCAAAAAAACCTAGAAGAGTTGAGCGGGAGCTGAGCATCCAGCAAAAGGGGAGCATGTCTGTGTTGTGAAAAACCCGCTCACACTGATGGAGCGTGCACTCACGCATAAGGCATTCATTTCGAAGAGTTACATTCCGGGTCACTAAGAGGTCAGCTGATGGGAAGAGAGAGACACGTTACAGAATGTGCAGCGTTGTGTGCGGGGCGTGCATCAAGAACTCATGTCTGTTATAGAGCACTTCAGAGAGAAATGGTATCAACCGTCTTGACTCCCATCGTCGCTTCCTATCAAGCACTACTGATCCACACAGAAGCATATCAATCACCGGCTGAAGCCGGTCGGTTCTCTTCATTCCATCTACTCCTCGTTCGGTGGTCTTCAACGAGCGGAGTGTTCGTTGTATTGAGACACACGATTGATACCTGGCCAGTGAGCGTCGCACGCGACGCCCACTGGCACAGGAATTTCGATTGTCTTGCCACACTCCCGGTGAGACCCCTTCCGACGATCAGGTAAACAGCAGCAAATGGAATACCTCTTACCCTTAAAATAGCGCGATACGGTACGATACGTATAGACAGAGAAAATCGCCCATTTCCTCAATCAATGAGTATCAAAATCTTTTCGCGAAACTTGCCCGCCGGTCTCGCTAACGATACGTATCAAAACCTTTTCGCGAATGCGCCGAATTCGTCAAAGTCTCACACTGTGAACGATGCCTCAATTCCCGTTCTAGCCCGTGTCTTTAAGCCTCTATCCACCGCATGCACGTCCTATATTGAAAAGCGACCAAACCTCACTATGAGCATTTTCAATGGATTTCTTGCCTTCTTCTTTACTGGCAAGTTGACTGGAGCTTCCAGTTTCATGCCCGAACCTCACCATCCTCGATTTAATTGCGCAGTATGGCTTCAAGTAACTTTTTGCACACAGTCAACTGAAAATGTACACGAAATGTATAGAACCCTGTGTGAGTGTATACAACATATATGCAGCAAGGAACTACCTAATACATAATTTATATAAATAATTGAAATCATACATCCACTAAGGCACAATTTATCAAAGAGCTGCAATCAGCTCGGGCACTGCTTTGAATAGGTCGGCTTTCAGTCCATAGTCAGCCACCTGGAATCGTATTTAAGTGGAAGATTAATATTCAAACTCAGGCAAATCTTTTACACTAAACATGGTGACCATGTCCGTGATATGCAATACAATAATTTTGCGTCGCGGCCATGATTGACAAAATGGGAGAAAATCTCACCTGGAAGATTGGCGCATCGGCGTCTTTATTGATGGCCACGATGACCTGGAAAATTTCGAAATCTGATACGATCTCAATTAAAAACGACGCTTTGGTAAACTGCACTTACTTTGCTGTCTTTCATACCGGCCAAATGTTGGATAGCACCTGAGATTCCAATAGCGATATACAGCTCCTGTAATGTCACATTCTTCGTAAACAATTCGAACGCCGTCGGGAAATACTGGATACATCTAACCATTCAATAACCCTTTAGTAAGTACCTTGATGAGTCGATATCTCACGAAACAAAAGGCTGGCAATTTCTTTCTGCTGCGTGTTCTTTTAGTGAGGAAAAAAGCAGCCAGATAAATATGTTGTCGTCAGAGTAAAAAAAAGCGCAGCAACAACGCTTTCTCGACCTACTTACCAGGGAGCCACTTTAGTCATGAAAACATATTAACATCAGGATAACCCACTGGAGCGACAATCTTCCCTGTTTGTCCAACTTGCATATCGTTGTGGACGAAGCCAGCGTCAACAGCTGCACGCGATGCACCGACTCCTGCACCGAGTTTATCTGCGAGGTCGTAGATAAGCTGTAATGGATGAGTTCATGGTAAACTGTCTAAAAGCAATGATTTAACAACTGCCGACCTTGAAATTCTCAGCACTTTTAACTCCTCGTCCACCAGAAACGACGATTTTAGCTGTGCCGAGATCAGGTCGTTCAGATTTGCTCAGTTCCTGTCCCATGAATTCGGAGAGATCCGTTTTAATGTCAGCGGCAGGAGCTGCAGAGGAATTAGTTGACTGATGATACACCGCAATGTACTAGTGACATTCATAAAAGTAACCATTTTCGATGGCACCGCTTCCTCCTTCGGGGGCTGGTGGAAATGACGTTCCTCGACATGTCATCACTTTCACAGGCGCAGAACTTTGAACCTGAATTCGGCAAGAAATTTACAATAGACACAATGCTTTATGCCGTAATGCTTCAGGTATTGAAAATACTCCCACACGTTTATGAAAATAATTAAAAAGGATAGAAAACCATTCGAACAGTCCTTGAAGTTATCAAATACAAATATTTGGATTATATAAATTTTGATTATAATTATGTTACAAGAGAATAATTAGAAGCACAGTGTAGAACCTCAAGATAAATATCGCATAAACTCCAGATAAACTACGAAGAGAACCAAGGGTTCACAGGTACAAGTATCACACACCTTGGGAATGCTATATCTAAATTTGAAACCTCCTGAGCCACCTGTACCGATTTCAGGAACTAAGTACTGCACCAGTGAGATTCTCTCGATCCTTGATGAACTCAAGAAGCAATACTCCAAGCGTGATCAGTCGGATGTTCGAGGAGAAGCCAATTCGGGAACTCACATAAAATACCCTTGCAGCTTCTTTACCAATATTTTTTTTACTCTGGAAGGAATGTAGCACTATGCTTGAAGATTCTGTTTATGAAGCCTACCATTACATGTGGAGCGCTTCCAGGTAAATAAGAAATAAGTTATTGCTTTACTTTTTTGTTACCACTATTCAAATGAAATATCCGAACATGACTTGATGACATTATCTGAGAACAGAAATAAGAATTGTACTTGGTTACTTACCTTGAACAACAGCATTCCCGGCGTATTGGTTTCGTGTGAATGTGTCAGCAGAGTGTATCTGAATGATACAATGGTGGCTTAATGAAACAGAGGGTTGCACTAGGATAGATGGGGACAAAGTGGATAATGCCAATACTTCTTACTACGGCTAAATTCCTCTTTTTTTCCTCACGGCGCCGGTTAGAGCACAGGCAATGGGAGCGTCCACGATTCACATTACGACACTATGCCTTTCATTCTACTCTGCATCGAATGTCGCAAAATAGTCTTCTCTCAGTTTCGCCATTACACTATGTCCATAAGGTCCAAAGAATCATGAGTACTTTGAGAAGAATCCAAAACACTGAATGGAATTTCAAGCTGTTATTGTTTGATAACTGCTGTTTAACGCCGCAGTACGCGATCCGAAAGCTATCACAAGAATGCTGAGTTATGGGCAAAAGTCGGACCCCGTCCGTGGTCCGACTTTTGCCCATAACTCAGCATTCTTGTGATAACTGAATGGAATATTGACCAAAAAAAAACACCATTATCTGCGGATCTAATGAGCTTGTTCGACTCTGACCTGGAACACTAGTAACCATCTAGAATACAGCAAGACGCAGCCAGTTTCTAACCCATCTGTTAAGTTAAAATTTATGTGAAAACTCAAAAGCTTTCTGAGCGTTTTACACTGTTTGGTAGAGAATTTTGAGATCAAATCTCCAAGATAATTTGCTTAGGTTTTCCTCGAATAATACTTGCTTGGGGCATCGGAAGTTAGAGCAAAACTAAAACGAGCGCTTCTGACCCCAGCTTTTTGCGTCGAGTACTGGAACAGTAGAAGCAGTTCAAAATTTGCGAAGTGCATAGACAGGAAATGGTGCCCCTTGCATGGCTCGAGATTTTTCAAACGCTCGAAGCATAGAAATCGTCTTCGTGAACATGCAGTGCAACAAGCGCCTTCTTGAATACCATGAGGGGCAGCCCGTTGTAACAGTGTCCTTGTATTCTTCCAGCAGAGAAAGGTGACACTCAGTGAGAGTGTCATTCTATGAGCTCTACTGATTCCACATAATCCGGCATGGGTGATTCTGAACACGCCTCTAAGAGAAGTCAGCAAGACGTCGGGTGCAAACCTTGTCTACAAGGTCAACATTTAAATCTTAGAATTACTTGTACTGAGAGTTTTCCCGAATGGTTTCACTTCCATACACTTTAAAAGGAACTTCTACGGCTCTGGTTTTTTTATACCTCGCAAAGAGGAGTCAAAGAAAGTCGAAAGAGTCAGGTGTTGAAATGTGGATTTTTCTGTCGACTTAACACTCCCCTTTAGTCACTCACAACCAGTGACAACTAATCTTCAAAAAAGCAAAGCAGGTTGTTTGACCGCGCAAAAACTCTTCGAAACGACCTAGAGCTTGATGGGGGACGTTTCACTTATGAAGCAATATTTTCGAGTAGAATAAAACCCATTGAGTATGCGACCAACTCAGTCTGCTCATGGTTCACACTCCACGTACTCGCTCTTTGTCGACTCGTGTTCCAGAGATTAGAATTAGAAGCATTGACACTGTTTACCCTTTACTGCCCCAGTCACCCGATATGAGCCAATTTTTGACCAACTTTTTTCTCCGTGCGCAGAACTGGCTAAAAAGTTGCTCCCATGAACCGTTTGACCTCCTGAACGCGGATATCCCATCCGCTAAACCTGGGACCGCTTGGCGCCTCCGCCAAAATGCCCCGAATCAAAAAATTCGCTGAGCACTCGTACTCGGGGGTAGTTCAACCGTCCTGAACGCAGATATCCCATCCACTAGACCTGAAAGTGCTTGGCGCCTGCGCCACAGCCAAAATACCCAAATCACAAAACTCGCTCAAGACTTGTGCGTAGGGGTAGTTTGGTCTCACATTTCGATGGGTGCTGATAATGTTCAAGATGGAGTAAAGGAGGTACGCGTGATAGCGCAAGCTGCTTCTGCTCGCCTACACCCTCACCCGATATAGTGATCCATTCCTCTGCCAAAGCTGAGCTTTAATAAAGGGAATGTTCACTATCACGGGCAACTAGGAAGAGTGCTCTCAATGTTTCCCTATCCGTCCTAGCACATAGCTTCGCAAAACAGAAACGACTGAATTCTGTGCTACACGAGCCGGAGTCGAAGCAGGCATGGGGTGGGTCGCCTTGTGACGAATGCATCAGGTGGTTTCAGACTGAACGGTGTTATATTCGTGTTCAGGAGGTCAATATACCCCAGTTGACAAGTTTCTGATGATTTGGTGTTTCTGATGATTTCGGTGATTTCGAGTATTTTGGCATCGATAGCAGGGCGTGGACGTGAGCAGGCTTCGGACCAAGCGGATGTGATATTCCATGTCCAGGAGCTGATACTGTATGATATGACCAGGAGCTCACACTGCCCCAGGAGACAACATTGAAGCGAAGTCTGTCCACGGAGAAAAAAAAACTCGGTCAAAAACTGGCTTGATTATGCAGCGTCCAGATTTGTCGAGCTTCAACGCGTGCTACTGCCCTTGAACATGCCACAATTGCACTCCAACTGTACCAGACCCCAGCTTCCCTTTATGTTCTTTCTTCCGGTATTCAACCCTTTTTCACTGTTTCTCATTTCTACCTGATTCTTAGCTCCTCTTTTTCACTTTAACATTGAAATTTAATGTAGTTTTCGACGTTTTTGATGAAGAGTTGTTCTGATACGGTACCCAAAATCATTGCCACAGTGTTCTATATCAAAAACTACATTAAAATTCAATGTTAAAGTGAAAAAGAGGAGCTAAGAATCAGGTAGAAATGAGAAACAGTGAAAAAGGGTTGAATACCGGAAGAAAGAACATAAAGGGAAGCTGGGGTCTGGTACAATTGGAGTGTAATTGTAGCGTGTTCAAGGGCAGCAGCGCGCGTTGAAGCGCGACAATCGACGCGCGTTCAAGCGCGAAAAGTCTGAACGCTTCCTTATAGATGATCAGACGTGATGGATAAGTAGTGACAATCCATCAAAAACAACAAAATGAAGTTCTCAAACACTACTGGTACCTGAGTAACATCACTGATAGGTGAGCAGTCGAGCTTCGCTGCAACTCTTGGTATCAGACCTCGGCTGAATGCTGATGCTCCGGCCATTATTGTGGAGAAATTGAACTGTTTGTGTGAGGCGAGTACAACAGGTGTGACACGTTCTGAAGAAAAACTGGTAGTGGAAAATATAAAATCATGGAATAAATTAGGAACTTACCGGGTAGGTTATTTTTAAGTTTGTCATCCTGGGCGACAAGGACCTTTTTAACACCAGAAACCTTGGCTACCTGTTCGGCAATTTTAGAAGCGTTCGCTCCAGTTACCAGGACAGAAATGTCACTTCCGAGCTAAATTTTGAGGAGAGTGAACAGCTATTTGCAGCCACTGAGAAAAGTATGCACAGCAAATGAACATGAGCTAGCTGCAAACAAACCTTTCCAGCAGCGGAAATAGCGTTGAGGGTAATCGGGGCAAGTTTAGTTTCATCATGTTCAGCAATCACTAGAGTGCTGTTGAATCGAAAAGCCTGCAAATTAGAACGTCACAAAGCGATTGCACTTCTCCCCGCTCTAATCAAAGTTTCCCCCTCACAAGATTACGCTGCACTAGTGTTAACTGATTTTTCCTGCTAGCAGTAGTTGAACCCAGTGCAAAGCTCTAAGAGTTCGAACAAAATTTCTCAGCATCCGATGAAAGAGTGAGGAAAGTGAGTTAGGGGGGGGAAGGTTCGATCGAGGGCACGTACAAGGATTCTCCTTGTAAACTCCTCGTAAACTAAGACCACCATCGAGCAAAACTTCGTTCTGTCCTTACGAAGAAATATGTTCATCCCACCATGGAGCTCGTTCTTTGGCCGCGTTCATACATGATGCAGAAATGCGGAATATGCAGAACTGCGGAACATGCAGACAGAAGATGTATACGTATCGATCTGAAAACCGCATTTCTGCAAATTCCGCGGAATTTGCAGAAATGACGGACAAAGAAGTGATAGGGATCGATCGGTCCATCGGCATTTCTGCAAATTCCGCACTTCTGCATATTCCACGGTTTTTGAAATCGATAGACATATTTTCTTTTTCTGCAAGTTCCGCGGTTCTCCCAATTCCGCAGGTCTGCAAATTCCGCACTTCTGCATATTCCACGGTTTTTCAACTCGATAGACATATTTTCTTTTTCCGCAAGTTCCGCGGTTCTCCCAATTCCGCAGGTCTGCAAATTCCGCACTTCTGCATATTCCACGGTTTTTCAACTCGATAGACATATTTTCT